CCTCCTGCTTACTAGTGCAGATGTCTTAACCACTCGACCACCGAGCTTGCCTGGGTCGGCTGGCCGGTCCGAGTTAAATGAAGCAGCGGGTGGGTGGGTTCGAGTCCCACCCGAGTAAGCTTGTGAGGTTTTTTCGCAAGCTCTCGGACAAGAGCATACAGTACTTATTAATATTCGTTGGGTAAGGGCAAACCCGTTATATATAATTAACATGTCCCCAACGCAAAAATACATCTTGAAAATAGTTCGCGGTACCCGCTACTTCATTTGACTCGGACCGGCCGAGTTGTGAGGTTTTTTCACAAGTTCTCGGACAAGCACTGAGCATACAGTGCTTATTAATATACGTTGGGTAAGGGCAAACTCGTTATATATAATTAGCTCTGATGCTGCTGTGCAGCACGACTCATTGTTACACTAATGAAGGACAGGTATGAACGAGCTAGCTGAGATATAAAGATGATAGACCTTCTCCAGAAAGTTCAAAATCAATTCAAAATATCGTGGCAAACTTCAGAGTCTTCATTAGGTTAAAGAAGATAGGGAGAGAGTTTGTTGTCACCGCAATGGTGTTTTAAAAAGTTCAAACCCGCCAGGAATCAAGTAATTTTGTTCCACATACATCGACATCAATGCATTCACCTCTAGCAGTGGCCAGTTCCCCCTCGATATGCGCAAAGCAATGCATCGCCGTAGGTGCCACCGCTACAGGGAAAGCAATCTCTTGACCCAGCAAGGTGGTACGCACGTCTCGGTGAGAGACATCTCGTAGAACGCGGGGTCTCAGTCTGTATCTGCATTTAAAGAAACGAGTTTTGTTTCTTTACTTTTTCAGTTTTGCTGCTCCCTCACTTTAAAATACTATTTGTTGCTTATAATGAAATGGAGACAAAAACAACTTTGATGTCTTCAAACACAATAGGTGTGTGATTTTTTCTTAACGAAGGTTATTTTTATTCAAAGAAATAAAATGAAAGCAGCATTGTTCAAACAATGCCATTACACGCCCCACAAATACAGCTAGAAAGACAAATTAAACTAGATTTTAAGGTTGGTAAGATACATGTAAGACTTTTTCCCTCACTATTCTGCAGACGGAAATACAATGCGGTGTATAAAATCGTCACAAGAGTTCAGTGCATTCTTTAAGGAAGAGGCACGAGCAGAATTTTCCTTTGAAGGCAAAGGGTCCGGAGAGTTCAACCCATTGAATCACCCCGGAAATAATATAGTAAAACTATGCCATAGTTACTATGAGCCAACTTTTTGATGACTTTGTAAATTTCGGAGCTCTAAAATGTTTTCAGACAGGGCCTAAAAGTTGGGTGGGATTTCATTTTTTAAGTCCGTATACTATCCGGTGTCCTTCAACTTTTCCTGAATTTAGTAAAGCAAGTAAGGTACGCATCTGTACCTTTTCTAAACTCGTTTAGCTGGACTGAAGATATAGCCATATAAATAATCATCAGTGCTTGTTCAAATAACCCTTTCCACGTAAAGTTTGTCTGTGGTGTTATATAGCTTTGACAGCCACGATCGGAGGACCATCTTCATGCACCGAACATACCTTTGGAAAGCAAGTTCATTGTCCCGGAGAGTCTGCTCTCGATGGGAACCGCTTCTGTAGTAAACGTAGGCTGGTTCAGGAAGAGACTTACGGGCAAACAATTCAAAATCCTTGAGGCAAGTTGGCTTCGACAAGGTTGCCATTTTCTCTACCTTTACCTTGTTCCTGATCGGACCCTGCTACAAAAGCAGAACTAAATTATGTGAATTATGAATACGTCAGCGCATATGTGCACTAATATCTAGATATCACAAAACCCCCTCCCCCGCGTGCACACCTAATGTGGTCTCCGCTCCAGTCGCTGCTGAGCTACACAGCTTCGCTGCTGCAGATTTGCCATCTTTTCTAAATGCTGGGGAAGTCACGTAGCCTACAGGCCTTGGCAAAAGGCTATGGACTGTCCCGCATATGCAGGCCGCGCCGCTGAACCACTGTAGCAGGTTTTAGTTTGATGCTATCGAGCCAAAATGCCGGTACGTAAAGCAGACCAAAATGGAAGTATCCCTGTTTTGTTACTCACTCAGAAACCTAAACCTGGTCCCCGCCCGCTTCGTTTTGAAAGGCTGCTTGGATTTTCTGTTTATTTCACCTTGGGAGAGAATGGGTTTATGCACTTGATATTGATGACAGAACCCAAGAATGGGCGAAATGGGCCCTGAAAGTTTTGCAAATTTTGGACTTTTTGGAAATTGCAGTTGACTGGTTCCTATCGCCTACGTAGTCTCCAGACGTCTTACAGACGTCCTCTGAACGTAGGGACCGGTAGCGGGTAATAAACCAGAGGAATTCTGCCAGTTTAACGACGAAACTGTACACGATCAGTTCACAAATCAAGCAGGAGCTCAGAATATTTTGCCTTTTTTCTTCGTTACCGAAAATAACTTTACCAAAATTGTTTATGTAAAATTTTACAAAATAATCACTGATTTGAATTAAATTGCTGTAAAATATTTTGTTAATCATATTCACTGAAAAAATTATCACCAGGTAGTGCGTTACCATGCCGAAACTAATTCATGATAAAGCATATTGTTATTGGTCTGACAAAAATGTATTAAATGTTCAGCATCCAACTGACAGGGCTAACCGCGCACGTTAAACTGCAGCTAACTACCGGTCCCTATATAATACATATGGACGGGGACCAGTCCAAAATTGGAGGAAATTCGCCCATTTTCGTGACGTAGCCATGGTGTGGCTAGTGAACCTAAAGATCTTGTTTAACATTAAAAGGTATTTCTTTCGCTCTGCGAAACCAGGAAGACTGTCACGTTGCAACATATCATTCAAATTCAAACCAAACTGAACCGATCACCTTAAACGAAGCGGTGGGTTCATATTATGGCTAAAGTGGCTCTGTTATTGAAGTGAAGACGTGAAGAAAAAAATACTTTTAAACCCCATCAACTGGTGTAACAACAGATTGCTTCCACTTTTGAATGGCAACATTTCTTTGGACACTTGTAAAAGGGAACTCAGCAAGGTATAGGTTAAGTTCAAAATGTGTGGAAATACCTGCAAAACTGTCCAGCAAGGGGCACCGCTGAAGCCAACACATGCAACGGCGACAATAAATTGCTTGTAATCCATTCTCTCACAGTGTCCGAAATAAAATCAGATAGCCCCCCTCCCCCCAAAAAAATAGTCTCCGGTTTCTGGTCAGGAGCTGACTCCAAAGTGATGCAGCGATGTGGCTTTTTTTCACCATCACTGATAACGTGCGATGTCCATCACAACTGCATCACAGACGTATATATCACCACATGCGCACGTAACGCCGGCCGCTACTAACACTAAAATAAATTGGCCCCCCGCACTTTTTACTGTTGAAAAGCTTTTTCAGCTTGTAAACAGTACATAAGACCACCTCGTTTGACTGGTTCCCAGATGTAAAATGTGTAATACAGAAATGACGTCATCTGAAAAAGAGTGCTCCACTATCAAAATGTATGGGGAACTAGAGGTATTCTTTTAGCGTACATATTACTCAACCGTACCCCATCCAAAATAGATATAATTATGTAGTAGTAGTAGCAGGATTCTAGTCGATGAAACAAGTTTGGCAGCTTTTGGACATCGTTTTTTACCATGTAAAAACTTTTTTCCTTTTGCCGACGCCCAGGTCTCGGCGACGCGCGCGCTGACCAGAAACTGGGTACTTTCAGTTTGCCTTATATCTTGAAAACTTACGAACACTGATGTGAACAGGCCGAGCGCAGTGATCCTGCTGTGGTCACCCACGAGGGGTCCTGCAAAGCGTGGCTTATCCAGTCAGACTCCTTGAGTAACGTTAATGCAATTATAAGCAACAAGGGCGGTGTGACCCTTGATATGGCGACATTGACAGTGGCTTATATCTGTGCTGGAAATTTGGAGGAGGGTATAAGTTGGGGGAAGGACACCAAATACACTATTTAGGGCAATGTTCGTGATAAAGACGTACGTCTGTGTTCATGCAGAATCTGACATCAGAATGGCATATCTATGGATTTTCAAAATCGTTTTCACCTTTGTTTTAGTGTTATTGTACATTTTAGTCTATGGAAAATCCAAAGATTTCTTCGGAACCCGCTTTAATTTTTCGATCACCACAAAACAGTGTGTGCAGGCGTGCCATACATAGTGTGCACCTCTGCACAAAAGATTTCCACATAATGTAGGGTGCGATGGCGTAGTGTGGACTCGCACACGTCCACACAATGTCTCCCCTTCTCTGAAAAACAGTTTCAAAAGCATTTCAGGGTCAAGGTTATCCGTGGCAAAAATGAAGAGGAGCAGTCCAGGGAATCACTAACAAAAATCCTGCTCGAAGGAGTTATCCTAGTTAGAGAAAAGGGAGCATTTTCCTCAAGTTTCCTTAACCACAGGAGAACAAAAGAAAGTCCACACTTTGTATGTAAAACAGGCTTGGTTGGGGGGGGGGTATGCGAGGCATATACAGTGGATGCTCCTGTATATGTGGTGATATTTTTGAGTTTGGGAAATTATACTTTAAACTAAATATTTTCTTGAAAAACAACATCAGAATGTCTACCAGACAATGTATGTGACTATCGTTTTTTGCGATTAAATCATTTGGCCACAGAAGTTGCAGAAGAGTTGCAGTTCAGTCAACTTGCAACCAGTCTTTTAAGGGAGCGCAATCACATGGAGTTTAACTGTAAATGAATAATACAAAGAGCAAACGAACAATGCAAAGAGCAAAATGAGCAAGAAAAAGAGCAAAATGAACAATGAAAAAGCAAATGAAGAATGGGAAAAGAGCCAATGAACAATCAAAAAAGCAAACATCGAGCACTGAAATGCATAAACATGTCTTGTATATACATTATATAATGATCAAGTTCATTATTTCTTGTCATTTAAAGATCATCCTTCCAAGGGTCGACATGAATGCTATTTCTGCTGTCAAGCCCTATGCTTGTCACCAGTGTGAAAGATGCTTTGGACGAAAGTCTAATTTGGAGAGAACAGTTGACGATGATTCGGAACCTGTTGTTGAGGTTGATCCCAACACTCCATTGTAAAATAGAGCAAGTTGGAGGACCCCCGCCGTTTGGTCCAATACTTGCAGAAATACAAGTTGACAGTCCAGCTCCTGGATTTCATCACCTTCTTTACAAACCATCTAGTCTACATTCCGTGAAATGTTCTGATAGCATGCATGCAGAGAATTTGACAGCCACAAATCATGATTCGGTCCGCGCAGGCAATTTTCAGCCACTCCAACCAAACTAGGAATCAGAAGAAAAGAGCGATGTTGTTTACATATGCACATGCTGTGTATAGATTGCAAAAAATTGAGCAGGTTTGAGGAAGAAAGTCCAAATTAGTCTCCCGGAATGAGAAAAAATTGAAAATCCTGTTATTGTCTGTTGAGAACTGGTGGAACTGACTTTTGGATTGTGACAGTAAGGAGGGCTGTGTTACTGACATGTGTGGACAGTAATACTAAATCGGTGGACAAAATGACAAGCTGTAAGTGTTGGGGAGATTCGGCTTTCACCGGAAATGCAGGTTCAATGAACACCACGAGAAGTGTAAGCAAGAGGTACAACCAGGGAATGTGGATGTCAAAGAGAGCAAGGAAAATGTCTGGATGTCTGGATGTCTTTCAAGGCCCAACTCCTGAATGATTTTGCTGTAAAATTCGACATAAGCCCGCCGTGCCTACCGTGATTTATTCCATTCTTATTAGACCTGCCTCTGACATGTTGTTCAAGGCCAACTCTGTCGCCGTAGTCGTGTCTGTCCCACCATGCCCACTCGTGTTCGTCCCAATATTTCCAATATACTCTCTATATTTTCTTTCCTGTTTTTTAAATTTTTTGTTAAATTTCTGCCTACATGAAAGACCCTTTTCTGGTACCATCCCTTCCTGATCCATTCATGTCTCGCTTCCATTTCATATTTTGTTTGGCAAGGAAGAATGCTTAATCTGGAAAGGCAAGAAAAAAAGGAGGACGGGATCAATTCATGTGTACTGAGTCAAGTGATTAAAGTTTCTGTACGTGTAGTTTATAATCAAACCCATTATCAATAGTATGTAAAAAAAGTCAAAATCTCAGTGCAGAATTCTTTCCAGAGTATGCAGAACTAGATAAATTGAGAAAGATTTACTACCATCATGAAATTTAAACTCACAAGGTAGGTGGTTCTGAATTTATGTGTTTATTCCATTTATACAACTTCAGCGTTTGAAAAGCCCTACTGAAACAGGTACATGTATTTATGATAGTTGCAATTCTTGGAAAAATGCACACTGAAAAATATTTTTTCAACATTAACATTAATGTACTTTTTACATTCTTTCGGTGGTTGTTGTAGAATAGCTGAGAAGAGCTGAGGAGGGGGCAAGCCCTGGCTATTAGACTGAAAAGAATACAATTAGTTGCAATGTACCTCCAACGGCTGGTACGCCTATAAAGTGGGGGGAGGGAATAACTAACTTCTCAAAGGTGGAGGGCATCGGTCGTGGTTTTTTCACTCATTTTTTTCTTAGAAATGATGTCCAGGTACTCGGCATGTATGTCTTAGAAAGAGCCACGTGTTTACTCTTGAGATTGATCTTGCAAGGCCTATACAGGGTGTCCACATAAAAAGTGTCACAGTGCCGATTTCAGTACCCTTAACACCAGTCTAGTTTGTTCACTCGTCTGTGTCAATAACACCACAA